AACAAACGAGCAGATACGTAACAATATGATAAACCTAAAGAATAACATATTTAAGTTGTATTGCACACATACACTGGTGTTTATGTATATGATAAACCTAATTACTTTAGTTATAAGATAAAATAGTAATAAAATACTGTAATATACCTAGCTCTAACGTTAGGCTTAACAGCATTGTCAATAGGCTTCTTGTTACTTTGCTCTCATCATTTAGTGTTGATATTCTAAGGCTACAATAGTTAAAAGTAGTGTAAGTGTGAAGTGCTCACAGTTTGTTAGGTGTGACAGGTTGAAAGAGAAGGATTTATTTGAGAATTCACAGCTGACATACACATTTAAGAAAGTTAGTAGTGAAGTTGTACAATTTGTTGTATGGAGGTTGTTTTAAGTAAGGTAGATAAAGAGAAGGGTAAACTACAGGATGTAAAGACAAAATCAAGCTTTTGCATGTGAAGGATACAGTAACTGATGTGTTTTTCAAGAAGTTAGAAACAGTACTAATATGGCTAGAAATAGTGGATTCAATTGCAATGAGCAGGTTCTGTTAAATAACAGATTTCAGACTTTAGCTTATTCAGATGAGGAACTGGGAGGGGAAGATAGTAAAAGGAGTAGATAAGAATGGGAATGAAAAACATGAGTAGTTCATAGTTATTGGCAATTCTTTAGTATTTGTTTGTTTGTTTGTAGTTAAGTGCAAAGTTACACCATGGGCTATGTGTTCAATGCCCATTATGGTTATTGAAACCCAGTTTCTAGGGGAGGGAGCAAACTTTTAGTATATTACATAAATAGGACAGTCTGTAAAGTAAGTAGGGAGAAAAGAATTATAATTTACTATCAACATGAAAGGGATAAAGACAGAGCTATTGATACAGTAGAGGGTGCTAGCAGTGATGCAGTCTTTCTGGTGCACATAAGAGCTAATGTTGCAGGAAAGGGTACGTCTGAGTACATAACTGAATTTAGAATAAACATTTGTGGTTTCCTGTTACAATATGCAGTTATACTAGAACCAAAAAAAAGGTAACTTTGATTTATTTCCTAATTTTTATGATGGTTACAAGGTCAGTCAAATTGACCAACACCATACAGAGTTAGCATTGGTAAAATAACAAATTAGATATAAAGTTTTATTTAAAAAAAACGTTTGATGATTACCTAGAGGGATATAGAGATTACACAAATGAACTTGACAATTTTCAAATAAAGAAAAGTACTTTTAATCTTAAAATGAAATTTATTTTGCATGTTGGATAGTGAACATTCTGAATGAAAAAATTCATGAGCAAATCTTTCATAAAAAATCTTAGTACTTAATTTAAAAACCTGATATTTTGTGTATGAAAGCTTTGTAATGTTAACTAATAATATGCAAAACTTTGTAAAGATATGCATATATAATAAAAAATTATAGGATAATTAATCTCATGGATACCTTTGAAGTTGTGAGTTGGGTGGATCCCACCCAGCCCATAGTCGTAGGGTTAAGAGAATCAATGTTCATGCACCATCTTTTTTCATACTTACTTGTGAGAATGGAAGGACTAGGCAGAGAACAAATTTAATGGTCACCTGAGACAACCATAAGTTCTATCTGACAAACAAATGCTATAAAAGTGACTAAGTTTCTCCTTCATACAACCAAATTATTTCAGATTTCAAAGCTGTACATACTACCTTGAGCAAGCATTTCAGCATTGAACCAGGAAGATGCAATGTGAAAATATTATCAACGAAGTGATAATTCCTGTGTTCTTTTCAAGTTTGTATTGAATGGCTCTGCTGATTCATTTCAACTTCTGAACACACAATGGTTTCCATTCTTGAGGTACATGCTGCACATCATGAGTCCAGACTGCCACAGAAACTTCCGGAAACACTAACTCTAGCTGCAAACACTGTACCACAAGGCTAAATTCACAGTCTGCCTTCTGAAGTACCTGTAATAGTGTTTGGAAATTCTCCAAACATGTGCACACCATGGAAAGTATCTCCACATTAGTAACACCCCTATTAATAATGCAATGTGCCATGTTTGATAGTTCAACCAATCACAATTAAAGATTGCTATACTTACCATGTGGTAAGTTTTCTTGGGCAGAAGTTGACAATTCCACCGGAGGAGTGAAAAAATTATGGCTGCTGAGAAGAAATGTCTCCAGTATTGAGATAAAACAAATACTTGGACTTTCTGAGTTCACAGAAATTAATTGCTACTGTAGCAAATCTGTGTATGTTATGGTAGCAACTAATGAAAGCCTTGCATTAATCCCTGTCCTATAAGAATTGTATAATAGGAATTGAGGCAACATGCATGAGAATAGAAATGAGTAAAAAAAAATAATTTTTGCACGCTTTTTCAGATGTAAACAAAACCTCATTCACTGTGTATATTAGGCATAATGTACCCAAGCTGGGGTCAAAATTTACATATTTCTCGTTTCCCAAGGAAATGAGCAGAAAGACTAGATATTCAATATAGGAAATCACTGAATTATCACTCATTTTCTGTACATTTGTGGTAAGTCAGACCAAAATGTCAATATCCCTCACCTATACAGACCATAATGAACGACCCTGTTTTTCGATTCTCTTACACATTGTTAGAAAATGTTTAAGTTTGTTTTCATTTCATGAAAATATAAATAGATAATTTTATCATTTTACCAGATTTATATGTTAATATTGGGTCAAAATGAACAAAATAATTCCTTTAAGGTGTCTGTAATATAAACTATCACTTCAAATCTCTAAAAGGAAACAATTAAAAAAAACTATTCCACTATAGATCGCAATTTTAGTATTCACTACGCAATGATGTAGCACACAAAGTGACAAATAGGATTGCGAAGGCTAGTGAATTTGAGCTGATTCTAATTCTGTGATTATCAACATGGGTCTTGTGAATTTTGGACTTGCAAAAAGAAAAAAAAGGAAATCAGAAGACAGTCATAGCCCTTCTAGATCAAAAACTGCTAAGCCTGAGGCAACATCCATTGACAGGCCTACAGAACTAATTCAGATAGTGGCAGTGAAGAAGACCAGAAAAGTAGTAATGACCCACAGATAACTAACAAAACAGTGCCATTGTCAGTGTAGAATATCAACTTAAAGAAGCTTCCTCTTCTGTTGTCAAAACAAAATAGAACATCTGTAACAATGTTGACAATATCCCACAGTAACATCAGCTTTTGTATGAATTTCTACGACAGTCATCAGATAACTCTAACAAAATTATCGACGCGGAAGTTGTGAAAAAAGATTCATCAGTATATACTGTCTCAGTGTAGAATATCATCTTAAAGAAGCTACCTCTTCTGTTGTTTTACAGTATTTCTGAGATGTAGGCTCCAGTTATTTGATGAGTCATGAGTGAATGCATAATGTTGTGTAAACAATCTTAATGAAGGTGTTGATCTTAATGAAGTACCTGATGTCGATCAGACATTTGATATAACCTTGTTAATCATGTTTTTTGTGCGTGTATCCTGACATTGTTGTGAGCTTCTTTTTTAGTTGTGGAAGGATAAATTTCTTTGTTTATGAAGGACAATCAAAGCCTCATTAATGGTTTAAAATGTCTTAAATTTGTTCACTGTTAGGGAATACAAATATAAATTTTAGTAGAGTAGGAGTCATCCTCAGCTAAAACAATTATATTTTTCTAACAGGGCAGTTGATGTTTGAAATTATTTGCCTTCAGATGTGATAGATTAATTTCAGATAATTTAAATGAAGGCTTGATGAATATTTGAATAATAAAGGTCTTTGAATATTTTAGTTTCATTTTAAAGTTTAGTTTAGTGAATGCCCAGATGATCATACAGATTCTTTGTTGTCTTTAAATTGCATGAAATATGTGTAATATTACTAACATAAAAACAATGATGTTATAATACTCTAGTCTGAGTTAAAAGTATACCCAGAATATAAATTCTGATTAAACTGGAGGAAATAACAAAAAACATCATGTGTTTCAAGTTGGACACAAGTGTCTAAAAAACATACTTGCAAAAAATCCATCTTTGTGTTTATATTGGAAAACTTCCACAGCTGGAGATTCACCCAATGGATTTTCTGGATCAACATCATAGAAATTTGAAGGAGATTTATTCTCTGGTTCTTCTTTCAATCGAGACAGAAGTTGATTACACCAACGTTTCCAAGAATCCCATATCAGGTACTCAGACTTAAACTTCTGAAGACTGCTAAAAAGTCTACAGCAAATTGAAAATAAACATGAACTTTATTCACAAGCAACACATATGTAGTTTAATTACAAAATATATAGGATACTCACTTTTTATTTTTCACAATATTGTATAGGGAAACCAAACATACATAATTAAAAAATTTTAGCTTATATTGAACCTATAATTCTTCAATAATTCGGTTTATTCAACAATGAAAAAATCAAATTAAAAAAATTTTTGTTAGAATGTGGTATTGGAATAGCGGGGGGAAACAGCTAAGACTAAACTAATTAACACCAACCTCAAAGGTCGAATCACATTGTGTCCAGAAACTTGTCATTCATTCCAAATACAACTAATCAATCATCTCTCCGTAATATGTGACCAAAATATTTGAACTAATAATACGCAAAATCAATACTCATTAGAATTCATTAAATCAAAAGTAACAATATAGTTTATGAGCAACACCATGCACAACTTAAAAATTCACACACATGTAATGAAAAAAGAAACACAAAATGTCATAAGTATTTTCCTTTCCAAAAAGAAAATTTAAAGATAATGATAGAAAAGTCTAACTGAAATTTGATTTATTTAAGTAAACAAACAATGAAAGTTAACATTTTCTTAAATCAAAAATGTATTTCCAATAACACTTACCTCCTCTCACATTTATAGATATTCGTTGACCTCCAGGGTTTCTTCTTTGCCCATCTAAGCATTTGTCTGATTGTTTCTTGATTACTCCAGTCTTTTATACTCCACTTAATTGCCCTTGATGATATTTATCTCGTGACACTCTCCAACTATGTCAATGCACACTCTATCTGGTACTGTATATAAGCACCACATTCAGATAATTTTATCACTTTTTTGAGACTGATACCATCCCAGTCTCTAACATCGGCTCTTAGTGGGTAGGAAGGATAGGAGAGTGTGAAAGGAGGTAAGTATTACTGGAAAAACATTATAAGTTTAGGAAAATGTTAACTTTCAAAACATACTTACTTCTGCTCACACTTATAGCTAGAATCCCACATTGATAAGGTGGAGGGGCAAGTGAGGGAATTATCCATACAGAAATTGTTTCCATAGATCATGGGTGTGTCAGTAGAGGTCTGACACCCTAGTGGGGGAACTAGACTACATCCAGAACATGTATGCTCTTCACCTGGAACTTAATTCCTGCATTGTGAGTGGAATTTTACCTGTTTATCAACACTATTGGCCAAGCCTCAATCAAAGAGCCAAGGTTCCAGTACTCGGATTTGGAATTATGGGACCGTGTATGCCTTACTCAACCTGATAAAACAGAACTCATCGTCTGGAATTATGAACACTCATCCTCACTCCCCAACTGTGTGGGCAAGGTAAATTCCACTTGCGCATTGTGGAACCTCGAGGAACAGTGCAATAGGTGCACCAAGTTCCCTAAATTTTTAAAAGCAAATCCAATGATTGACAGGGACAGGCAGGATCCCCTTATGTTTTACTCACGATAGTCCATAAGTGGCAGTCCATTACAGTACAGTAATACCACCCAGTCAGCCTCTAAGTGGTCTTATGGAACACCTCATTTCCACAGAGCCTGTTGTAACCTAGATAAAGTATATGGAATCAGGGGTTGCTAGTGCAGAATTGATTTGATAAAATCACACCTGCCTGAGAAACACTCATTACAGAGTGGGATCCTGTGAAAATGAGGTAAAGGACCCTAAAAGGTAACAATGAAAATACTCACCCATCTGTATAATTTAGCATATTGGTTAAGATAGCTGCAGGGAGTAGGCAAAAACCCTCAGATGAACATACTGCCAGATCATGCAAGTAACGTGAGATAAAAAGTATTGGGGGAGATCCACACAATGTCCTCCAGTGGGCAATTCAAGAGGGCTGCTAAGGACATAGAAATGTGACAAATCTGATTATACTTGACTTGAAGAAAATTTCTTGCCTTCAAAGATAGCCAAGAAAGAAAAAAAGACATTGTCTAGCATCTCTAATGGCATTAGTGTAGGCAACAAAACCTTCAAGACCCTCACTGAACATGACCATGATCCAAATCTGATCGGACATAGAAGTGAGAAATAGTGATCAGATGAATCTGTAAAAAGGATTTAGCACCTTTCCTGTCTGACAGTGTCTTGGGTAAAAAGAACTGGTATGAGGATGTAGAGAGAGAAGGAGAAAGCAGTCTGTAGGTCAGCAGCCATGAAAAATACACCTTCAGGTAAAGGGGATACATGGCATATGTGAAACAAGTCACAAACAGGTGTTGAGAAAGGACATGTATTGTAACCTTAATAAACCTGTTAGGTACCTTGAATGGCCATTTGAGACCAAAGACCCAAAGTGACTTGAGGAATCCAGAGAGTACTGGGAACTCAAAGAATATTTAGTGGCAAAAGACAAATGGCAGTCAAGAAGGCCACTTTAAACAGGGTGATTGTGAAAGATGTCAAAACCTCTGCCAAAGAGCTAGCACAAAAAACGAGTTATGGTTGGCACTTCTGATCGAAGTGGGTTCAACCTCCTTTTAATACACCATTGTCAATACTTGTGTCATTTCTGTTGGTAAATGTTCATCGCGGGACTAATCAAAGATTGAGACAGATACATGGCAAACTTAGAAATTAAACCCCAATGTCGTACGTAAGACTGCATAACCTATATTCCTGAAGCTTGAGCTTCTGGATAGATGTGTGTACCATATTAGATCACGGCTGCCTCTACAGAAATGGCCTAACAACAAGTGGAAGAGGTGGACTCTCCAGAAGGTGCAGAAGAATCAGAAACCAGGGTGTAGCTGTCAATTTGGTGCTATTAACAGGACCTGACAATTGTTTAGAACAAATCATATTTAGTACCTTGGGTAACAAATGAATTGGAGAGAAGGCCTAGGGTTGTAATCCTGTCTTGTCCTGACGGAATGCATCAATTACTAAAGCCAGAAAATGAGGTACTGGAAACCAAATTGGTAGTAGTTGCGTGATCCAATGAAAGGCCAACCCACCAATCTGAATTTCAAAATGGGAGCCAATCCAACAGAGCCTTGTGATGCAGAATCTATTTTGTCAGGAAAATATGTTTTGATTGAGACAATTGACCTGCTACCGCAGGCATCACCTCTATAACATGGTAAGCTAGTACGATGACATCATAGGAATGGTCCAAGATTCAAAAACAAGAAGCTCTGGACTAAGTGCTTCCTCAATGAGAAACACAAGATATCATCATGGAATTGTCAGATTAGAGCCTGATGATTTTCCTCTTAATAAGCTCAGGCCATGAGGCATTGCCTTTTGAAGAGCAAGAAGGACCAAAACATTGTGTTCGGAATCCTCCATCTGTGCATAGACCATGGAATTCCTGACTGTTGGTATATGCACCCCATCCCTGAAGCAAGGCATTTGTGAAGAGATGGACGAGGTGGCAGTATAGGAACCCATATCTTAGTGGTGTCCCAACTTAACAACCCTTCAAGATCAAAGAATGATCCCAACTAAGGAAACTGTGAAATCCAGTGAATCGATGTTTATGATCCCTTGGTCACATAAAGACCATTAAAATGATCTCTTGTGCTCTCATCCCAAAGGCACAAGGGATTCAAGAGATGACCACATCCCCAGAAGAGAAAGAACCATCAATGCCATGGGAGAAGTGAATTGGAGTTAGAAAATATAAAATACCCAGACTGATGACATTTTGAATTGGAGCAAGAATAGATGTCTCAGCCATAAGAATGAAGCCTGCTTGGTTGTTTCTGAAAGTAGAATCATAATGTGATGTTCTGACAATTGAAGAAATGTTTCCAGTAGTAACCAGTCTTTTATGGAATGGTGTGTGCATAGTTCAATGGACAGAGGTGATGAGAAAAAACTCGTACAATATAGCATAACCAATGTGAAGCTAATGCAAGTCCAAAGGTAAAAACCCAGAACTGCAGTACCTGACCCTTGTGCAAATAACAAAAACCTGCTGATAGTGGTGGAATGCCACCACTATGGCAATCTGCAGATAAGAGTTGACTACAGTGAACCTGGACATCCACAATCCCAGTAAAATATGCCAACTCTAGGCATTGATAAAGATCAGACAGAACAATGACTGGACATCAATCTCCTGTCTTCTGAGACACAACAACCAACTGGAATAAAACCTCAGAAGAACTAGCACGCCTCTCTTACTACCCCCAGACCAATCAAACCCTAGAACTAAGTTCCAACTCCTGAGGATCTGCAGGAGAGGGAAACACTACAGGTTGGGTGGATAAAAGTGGTGAAGATTTGAGCTGAATGACTAATCCTGACTCAAGGACCCGTAGTGCCCCTGGATCCATGGTTAAGGTTACTGCACATCCAGAAATTCTCAGAGCCAAGACCTCACAGACACCACTAGTGGCAATCCAACTGAGAAACAGAACTCTTGGATATAGACAGAACCTGTTCTAGGTACTAATGTATTGAGGGGCTGAAGTTGAGGGTCAGATTCCATGAATAGGAGCAGAACTATGATCCCTGTAGGAGCCAACAAAATTCACGACTCCAACAACAACAGGGATGAATGTAGAAGCCAAAGATTAAACCAACATGCACGTTACGAATGGATCCAACTCGTCATCAATAAAGTTGGTGATCCTGACAATTTTCAAACAAAGTGAAGTGAAAGGAAAACAAAATGTTTGATTTTAGAGTTGGAAGTTCATAGACTTACCTGTCCCATCAGGGGAGATAGATATATTCAGGTTAACTACTAACTCCACTTTAGAACCCCAAAATTCGAGAAGCAGATGTGTTATACGAGAGTCTAAAAATGCTAACACCTGGTGGTGGTATGACAAATCACAAAGTTCTGACAACTCTCTCTTTACATAACTGAGAAGTTAACCTCCCAGCATGAACCACAATATCTGTGGATGGAGAGAAAACTAAAAATTCACTCTCAGACCTTTCAGCCATCAAGTAAAGTGTAGGCTCCAAAGCAACCAGGAAAATGCCCAAATCAACACACAATCGGTGAACCAACAGAAGGAAACAAATCAAAGGCAG